GAAAGAGCAGCCAGGATCATGGGGGTGCAGAGGAGCACTCAGCGTGTTCAGGTCAGCCTGGGATCTAGACCTGGACCTCCCATATGGCCCCAGGATTGTGCAGTGGTGCCTTACTGCCTGCACCACTGGGACTAGGGCCCTTATAGCTTCTGAAAAGTAAATCCTTTGTCATTTTGTGTTGCAAATACTTTCTTCCAGTCCATTGCTTCTTTTAACTTTGTTGTATAAGCACTTGTGATTTCAATATGAATATATTTATATTTTTCTCCTAAAATTTTCTTTTTATTTTGACTAAGAAGTACTTTCCTAATTTGAGATTGTAAAGTCATTTTATATTAATTTCTTTTTAAGTTATGAAGTTTTTTTTTTTTTTTTTTGGGGGGGGGAAAGGTTTTGCTATAGGGCACACACACTCATTGGAATGACAGAGAGAGCCAGAGAGCCAGAAAGCGAGAAATCACTCTCCTGGGGGGATGGTCACACTGCAAACCATTCCCCTCCATTCTCCTCTGAGACTCTTGGGCATACCTGCACACATGCCCAGCTTGAGTTTAAGCCTCTGGATCTGGGACTCGCACTGCGGTCAATTACATGGGAGTCTAGCAACGTAGTCATTATACTATCTGCTGGTCTCAAGTTATGAAATTTTATTTTCACATTTAGGTCTTTAACATTTACACCTCCACATGGAACGGACTGTACCTGTGCGCATTGCTTCAGGTAGGATTTTCATTTGACTTTTTATGTGTGGAAGTATACTGTCCCAGTATTACTGATTTGTAATGTTACCTCGGTCATATTGCACGTTCCAATACTAGCTTCTGTATGACTCTGGAGTCAATATTCTTTTCCATGTTTCCTATTTGTCCATCCCTAAGTTAGCCTTTGCTTTTTAGTCATTTGATAGACTTCTGACATCCTAAAGGTCATTAGCAGTGCCTCCCTTAATAATCCCCATCAGTGATAATTATTCTCTCCCTATGCTTTCATCTAACTCTGAGTTTTTCTCTATTAAATACATATAAAATACTGTCTTATAAACCAGTTATAACCTTAAGACCTGGAGAAAATAGGATGAATATCAAGACCTGGAAGCTTCTAGTCTCTCATGTCTGTACTCCAGAAGACTTTTGGGACTCAACAGGGCCGTGTCTCCTGCATGTTGAATCAGGGAATTCCACAAATTGCTCCCTACTTTTCTTTTTTAAAAAGTATTTAATTTTATTATTATTATTTTAAAAATGAGCTATAGGGCATGTATGCTCATCAGAGAGAGATAGAAAGAGAGAGAGAAAGTAAGAAAGCAAGTCATCAGGTCTAAGACTCAAACCGCAGTTAGCCATGTGGGAGTCCAACACCCTAACCACCAACCACCTACTGCCCCCAGCTCCCTACTTTCCTTGCATAAGCTGTTGTAATGGAAAACTCCAAGAGCAACACTTATCTTCCAGGTCTCCTCGTGGACACATCATTGTTCTGGCTATTAAAAGCCCTATCTCTGCCTCTTGTGCTTAGAGACAGGAAAAATACCTATCTTTGGTCTTGTGGTTTACCTCTATCGCAAGCTAATGCCTATTTGGATGTAATTTGAGAGGGAAATTTTGGTTTCTGCTCACTCTCCTAAATGGTCACCATTCACTGTAGACCACCTTCTACATTTCTGAGAGCACATTACAGGATCCGAGCTCTGCTTTCAGACTGAAGAAAACAGTTCACTTTCTTTCCTGAAGAAAACCTCGACATGCCACCGACTGGCCACTCCCATTATGAGGAAGTATAGTGACAAGTAGACCACAGAGTGTGATACCCAGAGAAGAGTTGTCTGGGTTAGTTAGGAAATGCAGCTCCTTTTGATAATGCAATAAAGACAGAAAGTGTGTTTGACATACATAGGCTTGAGATCTGGTCCTACCCACTTCTTAGTGATAATGGTACTAGACAAGCCATTTGACTTCCGGCTTCCTCTTTCTTTATGCTAAAATAGGAGATTTGCAAAATTTTTTATTTCTAAAACCTCTGACAGCCTAAACGTATATCACACTATGTAGTGATTTTGGAATCCCCCGTGGTATACCGATAGAACACTCGAAGCATGTACTTTCATCTGCGTAATGCTTATCACAGAGTAGTCCTCTGTGCACGCCCCATTTCTTGTCCGTACGACAGCCTAGATGAAGAAGCTGAAGCCAAGTAACCGGCTGGAGATGCCAAGTAACGTGCTTAAGACTACACCTCTGGTAAGTCACAGGACTGCGACTTGAGTTCAGGGGTCTCTGACTCTAAAGCCAATCTAACCACTCACTAATATCGAGCCCTTGATGTGGTCTTTGATGTGGAATGCCTTAATCCCCTCCGACCTGCCTAGAGACCTCCCTGTGAACGTACATTATCATCCACAGACATCAAACCTCCCCCGCCCCCCACTCCCTCTCTGACACACAGACACAGGCAGGAGGGAGAGGGGTACCTCAGCACCAGGAGGGCGATGAGCAGGAGCAGGACCACAGTCCCCGTGAGGGTGAAGACTGCAATCATCAGGACCTGAGGGCCTGCGGCAGAAAACACAACAAACAATGCCTTAGTGAGGCACTTTGGGATTTCAAAGATTCTAGCTGTGGGGACCTGTAGTTAGTGTAATGGCTATGTCACTGGACTCCCACATGGTCAACCGCGGTTTGAGTCCTGGATGCGGTGGCTTAAACTCACGCTGGGCGCATGTGCGTGCATGCCCAAGATCCCTAAAGGAGAATGGAGGAGAAGGGATTGCGGCGTGGTCATCCCCCCTGGGGGATGATTTCTCGCTTTCTGTCTCTCTGTCTCTGTCTTTCTGGTGAGCACATGCACCCTATAAGAAAAACCTCTCAAAAAAAAAAAAAAAAGAAAGAAAGAAAAAAGATTCTAGCAGTGTAATACAAGTTGGGAAAGGGAAAAGAGATTGCCTTTTAAAAATTTTATCTTTTATTACTCTCTTTATTGAATAGATCTTTGAAGAAAAGTGTCTGGTATGTACCCAGGGAAGTGGTTTACTTTCAGCTCTTCTTGTGGCCTATACATATCTGTTTCTAAGAAATCACCAATGTCATAAATCATTTTCAACACACAAACAGTTTTTTAAAAATCTTGCCAGAGGGCACGTGTGCTCACTAGAGAGAAATAGAGAGACTGAGACAGAGAAAAAGGAGCTTCAGTGGGGCATGCTTGTGCTGCAATCCCTTCTCCTTCATTTGTCTATCCCATTGGGATTTGGGGCATGGACACACACGCATCTGGTGTGTTTTTCAAGGGGAAAAATTGGGATCAGGATTTGACCTGCAGACGGTGTGTGAGGTCCAGCGCCCTTAACCTCTGTGCTATGGGATTGACCCAAGAAATACAATTTCAACAGTGCAGATGAGTCCATTCACCAGTCTACAAAGATTGTACATCCCCTAGAGTGGTGTATGAGTTGGAGGCCCTGCGGGTTGGGGGCAGACTTCTCAGCCAATCTCAATTCCTATCTATATCTACAGTACGAATATCTCACTGCACTAGATACAGTTATGGTATGTGCATATAGCATCTAAATAAACTTTAATGAAATATAGTAGTTTTAAATTCAATGTCTTTTTTAGTTTTGCTTGTTAGATAAGTCATAGGATCACATTAGTTCTGAGGTTAAGTTTCTGCTGCCTTCTGGTGGTTGCCCTGGTTATTCCATTCTATTTAACTATTTTTTTTTTTATTTACTTATTTTAATTTGACCAGAGGGACAGAGAGAGAAAATGAGGAAGCAAGTTGCCAGGTCCAGGACTCGAACCATGGTTGATCATGTGGGAATCCAGAGCCCTCAACCACCACACTACCCGCCAGCCCCATGTTCACAACCACAAGGCCATTTGACTTTATAGTTGGATAAAACTTGTTAAATCTCCTAATGTCACAGAGACAGAAACTCACACAAAGAGAAGAGAAATAAATGGACTGAAATTGTCATAGTGTGAATTCATCATCTTTTAAACCAGTGATAGTGGTAAATCTGAAGTCAGCTCGAGGAGGAGCATTTCACCCCTATCCCAGCCCCCGTTCTAGTTCATTGCTAATGCCTGCTGGATAAAGGCACAGGTGTCATTTGGGGCCACGCTTGGCTCATGGAGAGAAAGAGAACTAGAAACGTAGGTAGGACCAGCTTTGATACAAGCAAGCCCATCAAATTGGAAATGTTCTCTGTAGATCAGATCAGACTTTCAGAGTTTCGGGCCGTAGATTAGTTCTAGAATATGACTATTTCTAGCTTACAATTTTTAGTACTTTTGAAAAAAAAATGATAAATGAGTACAGTCATTACAAAAAATTTGGAAAATTTAGAAAACTACAAAAAAAAAAAAAAAAAAACCTTCCAAAAAGATTGCTCAGAAGCCACTACTGTTAACATTTTAATGTATTTCTTTTTTGGTCTTATTTCTACACATTGCTTTGCTAAGTTAGAATCTCATTAAATAGGACCAGAGGTGGCATGGTGGTTAAGGTGCTGAACTCCCACATGGTTTGAGTCCCGGACCTGGTGACTTGCTTTCTTACTTTCTCCCGCTGAGCACATGTGCCCTATAGCAAGAATCTCATTAAATAAAAAAAGTATTGTTTTCTTCCTGAAGATTGATTAATAACATGGAATTAGTACCATTAAAGTGAGCCTTGGCCAAACCAGTCAGGGATAGACTGTCCTGAGAGCTCGTTGCCAGGAGACTGGCCCTGCCAGGTGATGGTCAGTATCATATATTTGCATTAAAACTTGCATGGAGAAGGCCTTTCCTTGTTAGGGCTTTTCACAAAATGATAAGAACTCATCATTACAACCTCAATATGTTTCCCATGACAAAATAGTAGTTTTTTTTTTTTTTTTAAATAGAGATTTTTGCTATAGGGCACATATGCTTGCCAGAGAGACAGAGAGTGAGAGAGAAAGTGAGAAACCCCTCCACCCCCCACCCCAGGGATGGCCATGTCACAATCCCTTCTCAAGTCTCCTCTCAGGATTCTGGCACGCACACATATATGCTCGGCATGCATTTCAAACCACTGGTATGGGACTCAGACCACAGCCATGTGGGAGTCCAGCGACGTAACCTCTTCGCCATCTTTTGGTGCCAAGTGAATAGGAAACTTTTAAAGGCCATGATCACTGACCACCCCTAAGCTTGGTTCATCACATATTCCTGCTAAAATACGTACCCATTAGGTTTAAATGTGAATAGAGTAAGCGTGTGTGTCTCTATGCTCATTTTGGCCATACCTAGTTTTCTACAGCATATCTAGTTTTTCATGTCAAAGAGTAGGAAATATTTTAAAGATACATATGGCAAAATCAGAATAGGACGTTTTCAATGTTTAATCAAAACCTTAGTATCATTCGCCAAGCAAGAAAGTAAAGTTTGCATTTACTACCCCACAAAATCTAACCGGGACAACAAACAAAACAAAACAAAACACAAAACATAAAACATAGGCTAACTACGTAAGCCATAAAACATACTTTCCATACCCAAAACAAAACAAAACAAAAAACAATAAAAACAACTTCAAGGGAAGAAATTCACTAAGGGTATCTTACCACCGCCTGGAATATCATTTGGAAGTTTATGGTTTTTCCAGGTGAATGTGGGGCTAGAGTCCACTGTGGTACTTGTGTTTAAGTGGGTGTTGTATGTCAGAAGAGTCTTGTACTGTGTCAGGGCATGAAAAAGAAAAAAAGGAACAGAAAAAGACATTTTAGAACAACTTGTGGTGAAATTTATGGTCCTGCCCAATACTTGAATTTCATAATACATCTCAGTGAAACAAGATAATTGTTGACCAGTTAGAGTTAGGATCTTTTCATTGGTGTACAGCATGAAAATGGACTTCAGTTTCAGGCAGGCCAATTTATTTACCTAAATATTTATGACTGTAACACCATTCTACTAGCCCCTGCCCAACACAGATTCTTTGGGTCTTAAGAGAACTAGTGCAAGTCTTTCATTTCACAAATGTTAAAATAAAGGCCAAGAAATAGTAAACGACTAGAAGTCACATGACAAGCGAAGCGCCAACGTTGACCACAACATTGCATTGCTTTTGAAAATGTACCACAAATAAAATGTATTGTATCATTTTGATGTTGTTTATTATTGTAATTTATATTATTAACACGATGTTAATAATATTGTATTATTAATATAGTTTATATTATTAATCCATCGTATCATTTTGAATTATTTCAGGAGCCCCAAAATAATTCTATATTTCCTACCTTCTGTCAGTTATGTAATAGACAGACACTAATTAGGTTTCTAAGATAAAAGTTTTCTTTTTTTGAGTAATCTGCCAATGGAAAATTAATAATATCCTTAAATTACTGATATATTGAGTCAGTTTTGTAAGAGCTCTGGAAAATGACCATCCTTCCAAATTTGCCATCACTCCTTCAAAATGTTCTGGATAAAAGTTTTACATTTTCAAAACTTTACTCTTCTCTGGAAAATAGACCCTAACAGCATATATTTAGGGTAGGAAATATCCTGTATATTAGGATAGACCAGGTTGAATCTCTAGTGAGACCTACCCCAGATAGAGATGATCATTTCTATAATTCTGTGTTTTGAGAATTAATCTCTGGTTTCTTCAGATATGTAGCTTGTGTTGTATAGTATGTAGCACAATCAACAGCATTAGATGATTAAAAAGTCCAACCAAATTTGCTTTTTTGGGACAGGACGTGCACAGAACAGTATTTTTCTTGTTGGAGAGCAGTCACGCACAGACATAAGCTCCCCCATGTGCATTTCTGTCTCCATGGCGGGCGAGGGCATCTTTTCCAGTTGCCAGTA